CCTGCCGCAGCAGAGCTCCACTGTGGCCAGCTCCGAGGGCATCAGTTGGAGAGAGCCCATTTTTCTGCAAACTGGAGGACAGTTTTGCTCCTACCGTTTCCCTGGGGCTGCTCAGCTCAGCCTCTGGTGCGCAGCAGGACCTGGTGGCACCCCAGCACGGACCAGTTTGCATCCAGAGACCCTCCGCAGGCAGCAGTTCCTGCTGGCCAGTCCCTCCTGCGTTTGCAGAGCCCCCGCTGCGCTCTCAGTCTTGCCAAGACCCCATCCCCATTTTCACTCCCTTTCACCGGGTGCTTAGATCTTCATTACGAGGCAGCAGGGCCCAAGCAGGGGCTCCAGCGCACCAGTCTGCAGGATGTACGGCAGCACATGGCCGAAGTGGAACCACAAGGCCTTGGAGGATGCTGAGCACACAGCTGGTACAGGCAGATGCAGGATTTACCATCTGGGTGTGAGCACTGCAGAGCACAGCTCGGAGCAGTAACTCTTACAGGATATAATCCCTTTGTCTGCTTTAAAAATCAAAAGTTCTCCTTAATAAAACATGTTAGCTGCAATACTGTTTCCCAATTTTCCAATATTTACAGGAAAGTCATGGGGCAGAGCCCAGGCTGGTGACTGAAGACCAGCGAGGGGAAGTGGCAGGCTGCGGATGGGGAGCAGGAGACACTGGCAGCAAAGCCCAGTTAGGAAAATGTTGGGGACCATCAAACTAAACTGCAGTAAACAGAATGGAACACTGGTAGCTACCAACAATCCTTATACATCATATCCTCTTGCACAAAAAATAACGGGACAAAGTCCCAAGCCCTCAGGATTAACTTAAAAAAAGACAGTAAGATGATTATGTAGGAACCAAATTTAATCGGGTCCTTTATTTAAGGATTATAAAATAAGAATCCAATCCCATTGGCTTCCCAGGGGCATGTTCAGACCCCATAAAGCTCAGGGGAATATACTGACACATATTTTGATGTATTGATGCCACTGGTTTTTACTCTGAGTGCAAGAATTAAATTCCTGATTGTATACACAGTTCATAGAGTCAACAGCCATGGAAATAGCTGCATTCACCCTTTTAAGTGCAATCTCCCACCTGTTGTCAAACGGTAGAGATGAAGCTTCTAATCCCAAGTTTAGAAGCAATCTATGGATAAAATAGCAGCATCAGCATGTGCATAAAAATTAGTCTTAAAATAAAATTAAGAATTAAAGCCTTAAAAAACCAAAAGATCAAGTTTTGATCTCATTTATGTCCTGTAGCTTTCCTTAGTCTAAAAACCCTCCACTAACATTTTCCATCCTAGGAAGCTCTCCCAGTTTGGGTCATTTATCAGGAAATTAGAGTTTAAAAGCATCAGGTACCTAATTTTAAAGGAGCTAAGAGACGAATGAGGGAAAGGAAGTCACCCTTAAATAAAATAAATCCCAAACCTGCCACTTCTTTTCAGCTTCAGGAACAACATCCAGGCGCACAGGAGAGGGTGCAACTGATGGAGCGTGATCCCAGCTCTTTGGGAAGAGCACACCTGGCTAGCAGGCATCCTCGGCGCACTAAGCCTTTCCATGTCACAGCATATCCCAAGGCTCCAGGTCTCGACGATGTTCAAAAGCTCCTTGCACGTTACTGGGAATGTTGTGTAGTTCTTCTGTTTTATGACCCTGCCCTGACTAAAGCCATCAATGCTGGCAGGATTTACACTGTGAAAAACTGAGGGATAGGAAGAGAAGGAAAAAAAGAGAAAGAAAGGCATAGAGAGCAACAGGGCTCACTCCAAAAGGAAGGTCTTATCCCCATTTAACTGATGCCCATAGACATTTTGCTGTCAACTCCAAGAGGAGCAGGATGTGTCCTGGCATACAGAAGTGCCTCACCCATGCATTAAATGAAACAGTCGCCCTCTGATATAAGACCTGGCTCCAATATAATTCTTTCTCCTGATGTTTGAAATAGAGAACGCAAAAAAGCAAGGAAAGTCTCCAGGGCGAATGACTCAAGAGACAACATTTGGTTTGCTGCATTACAAATAAAACACATTGATCGGCCAAGACACCCAACTACAAAGCCCACGCGTGAAGCACAAGGGAAGAGCAAGGCACACGTGGAGGAGCGCACGGACGCCTCGCACCAGGAATGCAGCCGCCCACGAGGCCGAGCCAGCCCTCTGCCAGCCAAAGGACTTGCTCTTCTCTTTATTGCTGCTGTGTTCCTCCTTTCTGGTTTTCTGGGTTGGTCTGTTTTGGTTTGTTTTTTCTTTTTTTTTTCCTTTTGCTTTGCAGGCCCCAGACTTGGCGATGAGGGCAGATGTGTGCCAGGCAACACCACGATGAGTATGACAGCAGCAGCACGTGAGCGACCAGCCTGCAACAGCCAGGCAGCTTCAGGATGTAGCTTCGTCTTCACACACGTCGGGCAGCTCCGAGTCCCTGCCTCCTTCTCTGCTCCCTTGTTTTCTACATGAATGGCAAGGAAATAAAGAGATTACAGGCACATAGTAACACAAAAAATAATGCAGGGAGTGTTTTTTCCAACAGGCAACCCAGGTCAACAACGTCAATATTAAGAGGGAATAGCAATGAACCAGCCTGTTGTGCTGGTACCATGTAAACAGCTCAGCAATATCCCAACTCGAGGCACTGCAGTGCTACACAACTTGTGTCTATACACTTGCTTGCTCTCCGCACCCCGAAGACTAAGCTTCACGCTTCCCTGAGTGTCCTTCTTCTGGCTGCAGCATCACGATGAGGTATCTGGTCCTTGGAGAAAGTTTTGCAGATCAGCATCAACGTTTCTGAATGATCTGGTTTGTATCTAGGGAGTTCTGGTTTCCTTTTCTTTAATCTGATTTTTTTTTTTTTTTTCCAAAGACCAGAGTGCTGGCTTGATACCACAACTGTTTCTCCAAAGTCCTGCTGTAAAGCCAATAAAACCTG